CATAGTTTAGTGTGTGGTGTCCCTGCTCATGGCAGGGGGGTTGGAACTAGATAATCTTCAGGTCCTTTCCAACCCTAACTGTTCTATGATTCTATGAAATTATGTTGAGAAGAGATGGGCTCTTCTCTTAAAGAACATTAATTTTGGATGTAAGATTGCTGTAAGTATTGAACTTCAAACTAGAATCACATTAGACTGTGGTAGCAAAAGTCCACAGGTAAGTATAAAAACAGGTCCATGGAAGGGTTAAACTAGTGGAGTGGGATTATTGAACAAGGCTATAGGAGAAACAGTGAGAAGAACAATAAGCCTATTTCCAGAGCATCCTGCAAAGCTAAGAACATCAAAGTTAAGAGTAAGAGAGAGACAGCAGGAGAAGCTGGAAGCATAACAAAAATTTCACATGATAGTGGCATACAGTGACTGGCTGAGAAAATTCACAACTAGATTGTTACTGCTCAGGAAAGAGATGACAAGCCTTTCATATCCCAGATACATACAGTCAGTCTGAGATCTCACAGCGTTCTTCAAAGCAAGCTAAGAGATTGTAGGAAGTTACTATTAGCTGGGTAATAACCTAACTGGGATACCATATTCTGAAGCAGTTATCACTTGGCCTTTATGAAACTGCAGGGGACATGGAAAGACTGTGGTTCCACAAGGGTGTCATAGTTCTACATTATTCTATTTGTTCACTACTGTCTTAGAATAGAGAATACACCTTCTAAAACACCAGTTTGGAAGGGACAATAATCCTGTGAGAGGACAGAATTCAAAATGTGTTGGTATTTTTCAGTTGTTTGGTTGTTTTTTTTAATCAACTGGTTAAGTAGTCTAATATTGTTGTCAAACGTGTAGAAGTTAGCTAAAAAGGGGAGATGCTTAAGGTAAAACAATGATTAAAATAAAAGACTTGAATCATAGTTATGGAACTGTAGGCAGAAGACCTCAGAGGAAAACTTTCTAATGGGAAGATCCAAAACACTGAATATTTTTATTTCATACAAAAACTTAAATATTGTTTTCTGTTGTTATACACAAAACTATTTCAATTTTGATCTAGGCAATGCCCAAATCAATTATTTGTAGGGCACTAGCTGCTGCTATTTCATTTTACTGTATGGAACAACATACTAGGCAAAATGGATTTTCAGATTCATCATTCTCAGTAATTTATTTCCAAGTTGACCACAACTTGCTTGAACACCAAGCTACTATTTTTAACTGAAAGAAAATTAATAAAATAAATACTAATCTGAAAGCTATTGTTTAATCTAAGATATTAAATTAAATTTGAGAACTTGTTTATACATTCACAATTATGAGAGAACGGGTTATATCTGCCCTTAATAGTTCCTGCTCCTGGGGGTCAAATTGTATGTATTTGATCTGTTTTCAGAGTTATTTACATTTTTAAGTTAGTCTCCAAAATAGTCAGTACAAATAAACTTTAAAAGTTAAAAACACTTTTAAAGCTTAGAGAAGTGGAAGATAGTGGTCTTCCACTGTAGGAGTGGCTGTACCACTGAACATACAGCAAGCCACGGGTTTCCATCAGCGCTTTCCTTGTCACAGTGTCTGTGGATGAACATTGCCTACAGGTTACAGACTAATGATAAACTTTCTATTTTATTATCCTTTCATGCATTAAATCCAAAGTGGTTTGGAGCAGTTGTATCCCCAAAACCTGGATACATGAAGCAAGAAAACAAGCACTACTTGGTCCAGCACCACCTATTTTGTGACATGTGACTTCACAGGAAAATAGGCACAAAACCAAAGGACAGTGGAGTACCAGCAGACCCAGGCTGCAGCTGGAGAATTAGCCCCTGACAACAGCATGACATCTCTTTGGATACCCTTCCCACAACTGCAGAGCACTACGGCAGCCTCTCTAGCCACTTATTTTAGGAGCACTCAATTTCTTTCTTCTGAACAGCAGCGGAGAGAGCAAATGATCATGGCATGATCTCATGATCACAGCAAGGAGATAGGGCATGGCATAGCAATGAGGGAAGGTGTAAGATCCAGATCTGGCTTCTAGAGGAAAAGAGAGAACAACCACAACAATCTTATGAAGATGGAAAAGACCTGATGAAGCTACTCAAGGATTTAGGATTTTTAGCCTAAAAGACATTTTCTTCTTGTCATTGGCCTAATCTCTATCTAACAGAAGGTCATGGCTGACTGCTGATTCCCACTCAGCTGTGGCAGTACTCCTGTTTCCAGACAAGTAGCAATGTGTTACACTGGTCTCTTAGAAGACTTCATCTGGGGACTTCACATAGCACCTCTGTCGCAGCCCATAGCATTGCATTTGTGCTTTAACAGCACCGCCCATTATCTCAGTGTCAACTGTAACTGCAGTGAAGCTGCATGATCCTGAGCCAGAGTGACAATTCTTTTACAGCTCTAAGCCAAGATGTCACTGAACACAATCTATATACCTGGGATCTGTCAAGGAAACACTTCAACTGGGAAAAGTGCTGCCTCCATGGTTCTCAAGGACCAACGTGCAACCAGCACTTGAGGTCATCTTTCTGAACACTGAAGAAAAGCAGCATGAGTGGCCTTGAATGCAAAGGCAGACATAAAAGCAAAGCGTGAACTTCGCATTGCTCCACTTCTATTTGGCCAATAAGCTGCAGAGCAGCTCATCTGTGCTCTTACACTGTGGACAGATTTGTTCAGTTCCTGGGATAAAAGGCAAGAAGCCTCAGAGTGTTTCTAATTCAGTTTATTTTCCTTGGCTCTCTTCTGACCAAAAGAGAACAGTTGAATGGGCACACAAACGCATTATTTTGAAGGAGCAGAAGTAAAAATGCTCCTGAGCCACTACTGTTGTCCTGGAGCAGGGAAGCATAATTACAATCTCACAGTAACTGCATGCACATATTTTGTATTTTGATTTTTCCTTTCAGTGGCTAAAATGTCATAAAAAGACTACAAATCACTGGAAACACAAGTATAGTGTTTCAACCCAGAAGTAGATGCTCTGCACTCACTGCAGCTCTCTCTCTTTACAAATGCATACTCAGCATGCCATTTTTGGCTTCCCACATCCATAAGCACCTTATCAAATGTCTGTTTCTTTCAGGGCTGTCTTTGTACAAATACCAGTACCATTTAAAATCTTTACCTTACAGTTTGAAAATAGCATCAAACCATTCCATGACATCAAATGAATAAATTGGCCTTTATAGCCTACTTCAAGGCTGTTACAGTGTACATCTGAGTGTACAAAACTATTTAACATTTGACTAACTCCTTCATAGAGTAAGGATGTGATACTATGAAAGGAGTGTATTTTCAATAGGTTTGTGCTTGCAAATGTCACTCAAGCATCATCAGTAGCTTAGCAGCAAACTACTTGATGCCTGCCATAGCATTCCACTAACAAATAGACGGAAAGGTTGCATTGGGAATTACAGCAGTAGGAGATGATTTGATTATACTCTCAGTAACTACTTGGGTAAAGACTTGCACTAGCCTTTCAAAGGAAATTCTGTCAAATACAAGAGGTACAATATTTTAGGTGTACTTCCCTTACAATGGGATGTGAGACTGACTAGTTTAGAAAACCTCGAGTCACTGTAGGAATTGAAAATCCCACCCACAACACACATACATTTGACAGGTTAATGCATGTATTGGGTTTGCATGGCAAGGTTTTGGTAGCAGCTGGGGTAACACGGGTGCTCCAGTAATGCTGGAGCAGTTTATGGAGAACTGCAGCCTGTGGGAAGGACTCATATTGGAGAAGTTCATGGAGGACCCTATGGTGGAGCAGGGCAAGAGTGTGAGGAGTCCTCCCCAGAGGAGAAAGGAGTAGCAGAGGCAACATGGGGTGAACTGACCACAACCTAAATTTCCCATCCCCCTAAACCACTCGGGGAGAGAAGGTAGAAAATTCAGGAGTGAAGTTGAGCCTGGTTAAGAAGGGAGGGGCAGGGGGAAAGGTGATTTTAAGATTTGGGGTTTATTTCTCATTACCCTACTCTGATTTGATTGGTAATAAATTAAGGTAATTTCCCCAAGTTGAGTCTGTTTTACCATGACAAAAAAAATCAGCCGTTTTGCTGGGTGATCTCCCTGTCCTTATCTTGACCCACCAGCCTTTCACTGTATTTCTTTTCCCCTGTTCACTTGAGGAAAGGGAGTAATAGAGCAGTTTTGGTGGGCACTTGCTGTCCAGATAGGGTCAACCCACCACAATGCAAAAAACTTGTGGTTATTCAGTACGTTTTTGCTTTCCCAAGTCTATGGATGACAGAAATGAAAGAGAAGAGAGATAAAGGCTTGGCAAGTTTTAAGCTTTCTAAAATTTGTAGCTTGATCATCTGGTCTGTGTCTCAGCTTTGGACTGTAGTGGGGACTGTTGTTCCAGAACTGAAGCACACATTCTACAGCCACATGTTACCAGTCACGCTGCGCTCGCATTGCTCAGCATCCTTCAAGACAGATGAGTGCTATGTAAGAAGACAAAGTAACAGACTTGAGAATTGTCTCACTAACAGAAGGCACTGCAAAGTGACTTAAAAAGTGGCACAGTTTGTCATCTGCTACTGCTTACTGATTTCCAGATAACTGAGTTCAGTTTGCAACCAGAAAGAGCACTGCCTTACACACAACATCCAGTTGTTATGGACCAACTCAGCCTGAGTGCTCAGGCCTTAAAGACAGCTCAGCAATCACCAAGGTCTACAAATTGATAGATTTTTAGCTCCATATGTCATGTCAAATCCCAGATTCTTTTCATCTTCCATACTGTCACTGCTACTTAAGTTCCCATACTCATCATGATCACTGTATAACTCCACTCCCTTCAGCAAGCTTGCTCTGGAGTCACTGAGTGGGTTTTGAGCACATTTAAACCTGCCAGGTGAAAGCAGTAACATACACCATAATTTCTTCACCATCTCTGGAAGTTCACAGTTCTAGACACTACCCTCTTCAGCGCATGTCTCTAGAATCATTGAAATATGAAATCAATTGCTCACCTTTTGATCCAGACTATAGGCTAAGATCCACTCCTCCTGCTTGGGATGGAAAAGCAAGCTCTGAATATAGAAGTTCAGACGGTACTTTTGGTAGGTAGCCCCTTCATCAGAACTGATGAGGATGCTGCTCTCAACCTCTGGATCACTAAGAAGCATGATCTAAATGGAAAAATGGAGAGAAAAGAGTGTTAACTGAAAAGTAAAACTGAACAGCATTTAAAAGTGAGGTTATTACACAGCACTGATTCCTATTAGATGTACTCAGAACATTGTTCAACAGTGTGAACAGCCTGTAGGATTTCCCACATGATTGTGGAGTTTTTTAGTGTTTCATTTCCATTTTATTTGGTGATTTATTTATAGGTTCATTCAGTGATTTTTAAATTTTTTTTTATTTCATTTTTTATCCAGATAAATTCGGAAAGTCCAGCAAGAATGAAGAATGCTATATTGATATCAAGGTTGACTTTAGTTGGATATAGCAACTTCAGACAACCACACCAGGCTTTCCTGATCGCTTTCCAGTCTACCACTTTTCTTCCCAAATGCAGGATACTATCTCCAAAAGTACACAACAAGGCACTCCTGAGATTTCAGGCTTATTCTTTGGCAGCACGGAGAGCTACAAATGAGAGCATCACCTCCCTGGAAACATAGAATGCCTATCTGGATCAGCTGCTGGCATCTGAAAATAGTCTGTGTGCACATGCATAAACATTAATACACAATCTCATATATCATGATCCCAATTTATACAGTTGGAGATCCTCATTCACTCAGCGAACACGTAATTTTCCCCAAACACAGGAAAGTGTATGACCTCAATTTGTTCAGGGAGGAAAACACTTCTGAGCCCCTAATTTTAATTAGAAAATTATTACCAATATTTTAAAATGGGTTGACTCCACATTATCAGATGGCACGCTCTACATAAATGTTATCAAGAAAAATGTTGTGGAAACATTAACACCATCTTATTAACATCTGGAGAAAACGACATCACATTAAAGCAAATGCCAGCACCATAAAATAAAGGCAAACAGTGGGAAATAAATTAGAGCTGTGCTAAACACAGCAGGTTATTGATACAGTAGCTGAAACAATCAGCAGGAAAACAGATCCAGGGACTGTCTTTTTTAGCTAGCTGCAGAATGATCATCTAGCTGATATCCACTGCAGTTTTATTAGACTCGTGTGTTCATGTTAACTTTTCTTATCCTACTTCACAGAGCTCCAACCTCAAGACTATGATAGGGAAACACATTAATTTTGACATAAAAAAAATCAGTTACAAGGAATGGTAAGACCCTCAGTATGTTAGACCTTGATCAAGCAAAAACTTTCAGAGCTTGTTTAATCTTAAGCACCTCATTAACTCCATGAGGTCACTAAAGGGAAGTGAACAGAAGATAAATGGTTTCTGATTCTTTCCATTAAGAAATTAAAAGGGCCTTTAAAACTAGAACTGAACATTGTCCCAGGGTGAAGCCACCTGTACAAATCCACAGCTTGAGCTCAGACCTCCTTCAGCATTCCTCATGTATAAATTTCCTACCAGTCTCATAAAGCAATATCCACTTGTTGCCACAGAAATCCACATTGTTAGTCCTGAAAAAGTGCTCTGGTGCACAGCATGGGAATTGAAAAACAGCCCCACAGGTTACTGCCTCCCTGGGAATTAGTCTTGAGAATAGTTCCTAATGGCTACTACCAAGAAGGAAGCTTTGGTAAGTTTCTTCTTTCTAATCAGATGAAGACGTGTTTCGTTTTGCTCCAAACAAGAAAAGTTTCCCTGGTATTTCAAGATGTTTTTGCTGTCACTGGTGACTTAGACTTCAAAAAGACATTTTGTCCCCCAAGTAGACCTCTATATTCATCTAAAGGATATTGCCTGTGCCAGAAATCTGTAACAGCTTAGTAAAAATTGCTTGATTTCGCAGAATGGAAAAAAGAATGTAAGACTGCCAATATAACAAGACATTCCAGAGAGCTCTTACATTTAAAAGGCAGGATACTTCAGGAATAAAAAGTTTTCCACCTGGTGTCACAGAGAGTTACAGAGCTAATAACCCTGTATATTAAAAGGTCACTGTTAGTGTTCTGCCCTCAGATAAGGAGCACAAGACAACTAACAGTTGCATAGACCTGTTGAGGTACACACGCAAAATATCCTCTCTGCCCTTTCACACATAATCTGCAACACTTCAGTGGACAGTTCAAGAAATGGGTCAGATAAGATGGAACAGGTGATGTTTCCATCAGATGGTTCACAATCCAGGCAATTAGTTCCTCTGGACGTGTAACAGTGGTTGCAAGATCAAATAAGACGACCATCAAGCTAGGAAAATTAAGAGCTAAGGGGAAAGCTGTAAGTCTAACAACTGTTATACCTTGTTGTAAGTGTGATCACATTAGTTGCTCATCCCCCTTCACCCAGTTCTGATATCCACTTTCCATTCTTCAAATGAAGAAAAAAACACAACCAACATCTCTGTTGTCATCCATCCTTGTAGGCAAGGCTGATCCTACAAGGTAGGATGGAAGAAAGCAGGAGGCTCAACCAGAGTGAAGAAACAAAAAGCTACCACCAGTCATGCAGCTAGGACCGATCCAGTTTTGTTACGTGGCAGGAGTGGGAGACCCTGGGCTTTTTATTATTATTACTGCTTGTCTTTTTTCTGCTGGAAGCTATTGAGGGAGGGAAAAACTTTTGGCAGGGGAAGTAGCAGGACATTTGTCAAAGGCCTGAAACCACCACTTCTTATTATGAGGCCAGGGCGAAGGATCTACCCCAGTAGTGATTTAGATTAATCGCTTTTCATAAAGAACCAATAAGCAAACTCCAGTCAGAATGAGCATTTCTGCAGCACCCTGTGTTGCCATTTATAATTGCCATAAGGAATAGCAAAGGAGCACCAGAGAGTTGTCAAATGTAATTTATAGGTTTTTAAGATCTAATCATTTTCTATAATATTAAATTAAATGGCAGCCTTTATTAAAAAGGAAATTACATTTTACCTTGCTACATTCTCAAATATATATATATATGCATACATATAAAAAATATGATTTTCAGTTGCTGCCTTCTCTAGTTTAAGTGGAGAGGGGAGGGGAAGGCAGGATTGATTACTACTAGGGGTAAGTCCTTGAAAATGTACTTGAGATCAGGTGTTTATACTACATAGTTCTTCCTCTCAAGTCTATAGCCCAGTCTCCAAAATTCAGTAGACAATGAATGGCAAGCACCAGACAAAATAAACCAGGCTGAAAAATCAGACTGAACTTCAGGTAACTCCTTAGGAGATTCATGCAGAGGAAGGGAGCTGTCTGGTATGTGATGTGTACTCCTTTAAAGCAGGAGCTCTGGAGAAAATGATGACACATACAAAGGTGTTTTGAATGAACTCCAGTTCAGAACACCAGACACCAGTGGGTGAATTACACAGAAGGGGGATGGTTCAGAGAGGACACCTTTCAAGAGCAACATATACTACAATGTATGGACTGAAATCTTCAGCAGGTGATCAGGAAACGCATCCAGCTCTAAATACTTCAAGGGGATTTATCCCAGGAAATAAGAATCACAGGCTGCCAGCAGAAAGAATGAGGGGAGGTGTCATACCTATACCTGCCATGATGTATTTGGTACACAAACCATAGAAGTAAGTAGCTAAGAGTCACTTATGTTTGTTGGAGAGCATGTAGGACATTTAAAGGAGCTCTGAATAAATGCAGAGAGGAAGGAAAGTGACATCATATCACAGCAAAAATCCACTAAAATGGCATGCCCTTTGATGGGGCTAATATAATAAAAGTTAAGGCAAGATTTGTAACTAAGAATATGAGTTCCTGCTACCCTGATTAGAATTCCAGGTGTCTCTGGGTTAATGCGCGGTTTCCTCAGTATCGGTTTCACTTAGGCTATGTGCACATGGATGAGTCAAGATGGTGACACACTCCTCTTCCCCTGCACCAGGCACAAAGACAACTGTGATCTGGAATATTGAACCACACCAGTAATGTACTAGCACACCTCTCACAGTCACAACACTGCAACATGCCCAGACTACTGGCTTCAAGCTAGAGGTAGCCTGAGCTCATATCAGCTTGAATCTGTCAGGCAGTTATGCCAAAGACTTCCCCTAAAGCTTGGCACTCATTTCTTTTCTCAGTACCTTTCACAGCTCTGCCCCCATGTGAGCAGGCCTGCTTGGCACATCACCACTACCCTTCCACTTCTGCACCCAAGGCACAAGAACAACACTCACCCTCCCATCATATTACTCATATCCTTAGCATCAGATTCAAAAGGTTTTATCACTGCTCTTGCTCCCTGGTTCTGTGTATCCTAGCACAACAAAGATCTGTTTCATACACTGATGAATCTTTTAATAAACTAAATCTGGACAAAAAATGAACCAGGTGCCACATAAAAGACGTTTATTACTGTTCTTTGAATCCTTTTATTTTTTTCTCAACCAATCAACATAAGTTTTCACTGTAAATTACCAAAGTGCATCTCTCTAAATCAGCATGAAGAAGGTTTATAGGTACAATATCTGTAGCAGTAGTACCACTGAGCTACATTAGCAGGAAGCATCCAGTAAATGAATAAAGAAGACAGGTTCAAAACAAATGTCTTTTGTTCCCAGAAACAAGTAGATAGCATTAAACCATTGTGTACTGCTTTCTGATTTTCCTCTTCACTTTAATGTACTTTTCCTAAGTCCTTTTCAGAGGTCCCAGTGACATTCTTATTTGCCTATAGAAAGTACTATTCTAAAAAGAAATAAACAAAGCAGTCAAAAAAAAAAATCCACCTACAAACCACCCAAGCCTCCACAGCTACGAAAGAAACCCAGCTCCTTAGCAAAGTATTAGCAATTTGCTCTGTAGCACTGCATTGTCCTCTTCTGCAATTAAAAAGGTAGTTCTGCCACAAGCACTGCTCCAAAACCAGAAACTTAACGCTTAGTGTTTACAGCTTCAGAGTGATTTCCATACCAAATATGCTCAGCTTGTGTGTGAAACAGCTTTACCATTACTTTTTTTCACCTCCTCCCACTAGACCTTCAACTCAGAAGCACTTTAGGTCCTTCCTGAAACAACTTCAGGTCCTTCCTAAAGCCAAGCTACATATACATCAACAAGGAGAAAAC